ATTTTGCTGCCCTAATTTTACCCCAGACACCCAGGCCAGAACATCACATAAAACACACTGCATTCGCCTGTGAACATCTCGATGAAGCCACTAACCTCGGGTAATGCTTCTGTCAACCACTGGAAGGCAGTTTTGTACAGAGATACAACTATTTGAAAATCTGGAATCTGAGGGTGCAAAAAAATCTAAATATTGAGAAAATCGCCTTTAAAGTTGTCAAAATTAAGTTCTTAGCAATGCATATTACTTATCAAAAATTAAGTTTTAATATATTTACAGTAGGAAATATACAAAATATCTTCATGGAACATGATCTTTACTTAATGATTTTTGGCATAAATGAGAAATCAATCATTTTGACCCATACAATGTATTTTTGGCTATTGCTACAAATATACCCCAGCGACTTAAGACTGGTTTTGTGGTTCAGTGTCACGTAAGGGTTTGTCTGTAAATACTGTATCCACCCCCCTGCCACATGCTGCTCTCCTTCCTCATCCATCCTGCAGTCAAAGGACACGCAGCTGCGCTTGTGTGTAGTTCTACCTTACAGAGACAGGTGCCTTTGAAATGCATGAAGCTTTACAGGTGTTCATACTTCTTACAATGATCCCCTGGAGAGCTGAATGACAGCGGAACAACACTGCTGGCAGTCGGTCTGCTCAAGAGTGAGCTGAAACTGAAAAACAATTATCTCAAGATAACACATTTTTCTACCATTTTCTGATTTATGTCTTACCTCCAACTAATAACTGCCCAGGGGTGTTGCATATGGGAACCGAGTGAACTAACTTGCCATCACATGTTTTCTTATCTAGTACAGGGCCCCAAATTAGACATTTTTTACCCTTCAGGGGGAAAACAATCAAGTTGATACACATTTTGAAATATGTAGTTCTGAAAGCTATCAGTATAGACTAATAATAATTTTGCCTTCAGGTAAATTCTTGCCCAGCTGTAAGTTGTTTACTATATTACTATAGTTTTACAAGTTACTGTCAGATGACAGCTGGTTTAAGGAATAATAAGGTTTAATGCAATGCCATGGTTTTGGGACAATTTATGAGAAATTACTCCTTTAGTTGAGTTATGCACTGAAGGATCATTATTTCAAATTTAAGATGTTTTATTTTAAATGAATCATGATTCAAACAAAGAAGAAATCCTGACAGTACTTACTGTTAAAAATAGTATAATATTCAGAAATGTCAACTATACCATAAAAAATTGTTTCATCACTTTCGCAGTGTACATCAGGGACATTGTGCATTTATGTCTTTGGAGGGGGTACAGTTCTGGCTCATTTGGTGTCCAAAACAAGATACAACATGACCAAACAAGGGAAGACACTCTTTAATTACTTAATTTTTAATGCAATTGTAAGATTTCCAGTAGCCCAGTGAGAATCCTAACTTAAGCCTATTGTTTCAATTTTGTAATAAAAAAACTGAAGCTGAAAATTCATTTTCTTTTATTCAAAAAGAGAAGCTTTGAACTTTATGTGGGTAAATGATTTCAGAACTTTCATTTTAAAGCTGTGGAAGTTGCAACTTAATTAGACTGACCAAATTTAGACATGTACATTAATGATTTCTGCCACAGCGTTTCACCATTTTACCTACAAAAATTGTGCATTTTAATTTTCTATGGAATTTAATTCAAAATCCACTTGACTATAATGTTAGGGACCATGTGCGGGGCACAACATTTGAGGTTAAATATTTGAAATGCATGATTACAGCATATCTCTCTGTAATGTTCTGACCCTTTCACTAGGACTAGAAGACATCGTTTAAAAATAGATTCTCATTTTGTCCTATTCGGTATTTTCCTTTAAGCCAGTGTTGCTCATTTCACTTGAGCTCAGTCTGTGCTTCTTCCCATGTGTCGTGATTACAGCATATCTCTCTGTAATGTTCTGACCCTTTCACTAGGACTAGAAGACATCGTTTAAAAATAGATTCTCATTTTGTTCTATTCGGTATTTTCCTTTAAGCCAGTGTTGCTCATTTCACTTGAGCTCACAGTCTGTGCTTCTTCCCATGTGTTCTCATTTTGCTGCCCTAATTTTACCCCAGACACCCAGGCCAGAACATCACATAAAACACACTGCATTCGCCTGTGAACATCTCGATGAAGCCACTAACCTCGGGTAATGCTTCTGTCAACCACTGGAAGGCAGTTTTGTACAGATTATTTCACCGTTTTCTCTGTCGCATGTAAACGCACAAAAAACAGGACATCTGCTCTGTTTAGTCATCTCAATGGCTGCCCTTATGTAATTCATAAGCAAATGTCAGGTTTCCTTGAGAATATGTGTGGGAATGCTTTAATATCGTCCGTTCTGTTGAATTCTTAATCTTAAACGATGTTTAACAGGTTGCTGACATAGGCTACTGTCTGCATATAGCTTGTGTGAAGTGTAGTGTGACTCACCTGTGCTTGTCCTTCTAAGAATGCTTAAACATTTGTTAAACATAATAGATACATCCGATTACAAACATACAAAGAGATTAGCTGCAGCATTCAATACAACAATTGTGTCATAACAAGGCGAGACGCAAGTCAGTTGCCTATCCCCAATGAATGCGTAAAAAGCTGCACGGCATGATGAGCCCGGTCTCATGAAAATGCGTAAATAATAGTACGCCAAATAAAAACGAAAACTCGTGGTATTGATACGCAAACATGGACTTTGGCGTGCATATGATACGCATGTGTTTGGCGCGCATATAATACGCAGGTTTCGCGTGCATATGATACGAAATTTGTCTATTTGGCGTACTATTTATACGCACTTTCATGAGATCGGGTTGGCATGATACAAACACAGGTAATCAGCATATGTAGCTATAACGTTTAAGCTGCGTTCACTTCATGTAAACATCTCAGTAAACTAGCGACTACCTGCTGTCACGATAGCAGCAAGAGAAATAAAATAAAAAATTATATTTGTAAGAGCCCTGTAAAAACACCCAGGCAGGCTATTACAAACAATTACTATAATAGCGTCTGTATAATGAAATATTTGCGGTTAAAACGTTTATTGCACTGGTTGTAATTTTGTACAGGAATATGAGGTTATGTGGAGTCGGGTTTTGGACCAACGATATTTCACTATGGGCGGGGCCACACGGAAGGACTCCGCAGGGATTGGCTGTGCCAAGGATGAAATATCAAACGAGAGATAATTTTTTTGTATTTATTTTTTTTATCTATAATTAAATTTTTAACGATAAAAAGCAGTATAATGAAAATCAGCAATCTTCATTTAGACGCAGCCGTAGAAACCAAGTGACCACAATATGTCCTGTCATTCATCGCATGTGGTGGTTACAGGTTAGTACTATTACAAAACTAATTCTGATTTACTAAGTTTTATAACTTTTATTTAAAATTAATTAACTTATCGCGTCACACCTGGTTAGGACACGGTGTAAGAATTTGAAAGCATTCCAAACAGAGTATTATAAATAAGAGGAAGGGAGGGAGGAAAGGAGGGAGGGGGTGAATCAAATGATCAACTAACAGAAACATTCATTAAGGGCAAAAGTCACAGTTTTATTCCAAACATGTGTCTATATATTTAACGAAAGAGGGCAACAGCCCTCCTACATTACCCCACAGTTTTATTGGAATATTAATAACAATAATCTGAATAATTTGCCTTATTTTCTTCATTGTGGGTGTGATTCTTCAAGCACTGGTATAGAAATCTTTGAAAATTAATGAGAAATAAAAAAATCAGCTTTGATTAAAAAATGATTATCACATTTCCATCTTCCCTTGACACAAACGCACTCGCTCTCACACACAATCATAAAGCACCAACATACGAATGCTATAATGCTGCAGATTCTAAACAGGGCTGCTATGCTTACACTTTGGATATAAATGGATATTGGCATCTCACAAGCACCCAGACAGCAACTGCACTTCAACAAACCATTCATGATAGAGGCTCATTTAGTTCTGTAATGAAAAACATCATTAATTGTCCTCTCACATAATCAGATAAATGCCCCTTCAGGTGCACAAAGGGTTTTCTGTCTCGTCTTGTTTTTGTTGTCATTGTTCCAGGGATGAAAAATGTTTCTCGGTGTCCTCGCAAATTGCAAATATTGACGGGCAGCTTGTTAAAGTCAACATGAAATCGAAGCTGATCCTATTTAGTTTCTTTACACACATTCCTGGCCTTATTGTGAATGATTCACCAGTGTATGTTAGGGAAAATGCTAAAAATGTAACTTTCTTGCTTCTGAAATAACTTTCCTGTTCGGTTGACATCATCGAGGTTGTGCGGCTATTAGTATTAACCAACAGCCAAATTGGTATTAATGAAGAGTATACTGTATTAAGTACAGTAATGCAGCCTTTCTAAAATCTTGCCAATAATCAACAGTAATTCAATGACAGTTGACAAAATACAATAAAGTTTATGGCAAAAATAGCAAATCAAGTATAGATTTGGAAAGCAGTGTTACCACTGGGATTTGCTGAGATGGGCTCAAGGGTGAATCTTGAACTCCACGATCTGGAATGCTCACTTTGCGAGATCCAATCAATTGCTGATGGATAAAATCCCGCCCTACATATTCCTTCTTGAATATCCTGTTTTACCTGGAAATATGTCACACAGTGGAAGTAAACTGGGGTTTTAATGTTTTTGATGTTGATTTTAACCTTTAAAGGTTGGTGTTTAAAGACAGAAGATGAGAGACTGAAACCAGGTGAGTAATCTTAGAGGTTGAAGAAGAGGAAAACTAACTTCTGACCACAAAACATCCCAGCAAAACTTACAAAAATCTATATACTTAGTCCTCAGAGAAATTAACAAGTGGGAAAAAACAGGTATCATATTTAAAAAAAAAAAGGACTAAAAGATTGAAACCAAAGAAAAAGCTAGAAAGGAAAACAAGCAAGAGACATTCAGGAATACAAATGAATTGTAATCCTCCCCCTTATTTAAAGAAAAAAAATCAAATGTAATTGCACCAAAATCATTTCAGTTAGACGTGCGCACATTTTAGGTACAGACTCCATCGTCCACAGGAGCGTAGATCCGCACTTCTATGCAAAACTAACAGCTGTCCTCATAGTTGTCCTCCGCTTTTTCCTTTATGACATGTTGCATAGCATACGTTCACGGGATATGCATTACATAGTCTCAACAGCATGCCAAACCTCACTGGCTTTCTGAGCACCGCTGCAAGACGTGGTGTTCAAACCGGACACTTGGACAGCAAGCGGTTGGCTGAATCATCTTTCTCTCACTCAGTGTCAATTAATGTAATTTTGCATCCAAAAATGGCCTTTATTTGCAGTACCCCAGAGGTCACTTTGACTGGAGGCGTGGACAGTCTCTTTCCGTCTGTCCTCCAGCACTCATTTACATTAAATTCTTGTCCCGACAATAGTTTCCTTAATCTCAGTCTCAGTCCTGCTTGCAGAGGAGATCAGTAGAGGGAGTTTTACTGGGCGGCAGCGGCCTTGGAGGGGGCGTGGGTTTGGCCCTGCGTGGGCTGCCCGAGCATCCTCCTTCGTTGTCAGTGTTTGTATTGGAGGCGGAGGGGGGCGGTGGCGGCAAATGCGGGAGAGAGGACGTGGCGGAGGCCAGCGGCGAGCTGCGTGAGCATGATGATGTGGAGCGAAGGCTCTGGATCCGCCGGCACTCCTGGCACACCCGCACATGTGTACAGCCACGGGGCGCCGCCGTGGGGACCAGAGCGGGTGCGCTACTGGGGACGCTGGCACTGAGAGGGTCCTCCAGCAGTCGCTGAGGGCCTGGGCCCATTTCCGCAGTGCCCCCGCCAGGTCCCGGTCCTGCAGCGGCGCCGGTTAACGGCCCCGTCCCACTGTAGAGTTTGCCGTTGCTGAGACGCATCTCCCTCACGAGCCGCATTTGACGGGGAGCTGCTAAAGGGAGACGGGCTGGGTGCCGGAGGATGCCCTGGGACGAGAGGGGCCGTCGGCGCCGCAAACGAGAGTTCTTTTTACAGGAGATAACGTTTCTGAATTCAGTCATCATTTCCTGACATACTGACACCTTAGTGAGGATCAAAGAGGAAGAGAGAGGAAAGAGAGTCAGGAAGGAAATATATAAGGAAAAAGACCAAATGAAAATGGACAGGAGTAAAGTGAAAACAGAACATCATTTGCTCAATTATCTTGAAGTGGGCATCGCTATTCGTATCTCATACTGAAAGTTAAGGCAGTGGATCTCCACCTTTTTCACTTCAATAGCCCTCATAGTGCACGACAACATTTAGAGGCCCAATGACTTGTACAGCTGCTCATTATTTACTTGATAAGGATTTGTAAAAATATTTTCACTAACACGACTACCAGTTCTATTTTAAAATTAAGCTATATCATATATCCTTGTTTTTCAAGACAAAAGGAATCCTGGTTCTTCAAAGAGGAGGTGAATAAAAATAGGAAATATCTTGAGCTTTAGTCGTTTCAGCTTATTTTAATGCTTTTTATGTCGTCTTATAAATAATTTTAAGTCATCTTGAAGCCCCCTTGGAAGTTTGTTGAGGCCCCATAGTGGGCCACGGCCCCCTGGTTGAGTTAGGGGTTAATCAACCTGGTGAACTAATAAATGAATGTAAAAAATCCCATACATTTAAATTTATGCATTTGGTAGATCATTTTATCCAAAGCGACTTGCAATGCATTCAAGATACATATTATATCAGTAAATGTGCTTGCTGTTGCTAATGGCATGCTTTGCCACTTGACCTACAGAAATAACCTGCATTGAATAACATTGTGTGCAAAGCAAAGTTTTCAGAACCAGAACAACCAAGTCTTTATTTTCTCCACTTGTCTAAAACAAAATGAATAAAATATGTTCTCAAAACATCGTGGAACTCATGAATAAAGGCTGTGATCCATCATTGTGCCCATAAACACTGCACTTCAGTCTCAAAATTGTTTAATTTTCCATTTAATTAGCCAAAAATACTAAAATGGTCTATAATAGCACTCATTCATATTCCAAACAACTTGTTGATGAAACTGGCAGATGCTTTTATCCAAAGCAACCTATATGCAGCACAGACTGCATATACATTTTATTTTATTTCTGGGAATCAAACCCATTGTCACTGCTAGAGCCATGTTTGAGGTGTAGAAATATGAGCGGTAAACTGTGTGAAAGCTATGGAACAGTAACATCACAAACACAGACGGCTTGACTGGTTGGCGTTGTGACCTACTCGTGAGTGTCTGTGGTTTCGGATGGGGCAGGAGTGAGGGCGTACCTCATCTGTCTCGGCCGAGCGGCGTGTGGACCTCATTACATAGTCTCAACAGCATGCCAAACCTCACTGGCTTTCTGAGCACCGCTGCAAGACGTGGTGTTCAAACCGGACACTTGGACAGCAAGCGGTTGGCTGAATCATCTTTCTCTCACTCAGTGTCAATTAATGTAATTTTGCATCCAAAAATGGCCTTTATTTGCAGTACCCCAGAGGTCACTTTGACTGGAGGCGTGGACAGTCTCTTTCCGTCTGTCCTCCAGCACTCATTTACATTAAATTCTTGTCCCGACAATAGTTTCCTTAATCTCAGTCTCAGTCCTGCTTGCAGAGGAGATCAGTAGAGGGAGTTTTACTGGGCGGCAGCGGCCTTGGAGGGGGCGTGGGTTTGGCCCTGCGTGGGCTGCCCGAGCATCCTCCTTCGTTGTCAGTGTTTGTATTGGAGGCGGAGGGGGGCGGTGGCGGCAAATGCGGGAGAGAGGATGTGGCGGAGGCCAGCGGCGAGCTGCGTGAGCATGATGATGTGGAGCGAAGGCTCTGGATCCGCCGGCACTCCTGGCACACCCGCACATGTGTACAGCCACGGGGCGCCGCCGTGGGGACCAGAGCGGGTGCGCTACTGGGGACGCTGGCACTGAGAGGGTCCTCCAGCAGTCGCTGAGGGCCTGGGCCCATTTCCGCAGTGCCCCCGCCAGGTCCCGGTCCTGCAGCAGCGCCGGTTAACGGCCCCGTCCCACTGTAGAGTTTGCCGTTGCTGAGACGCATCTCCCTCACGAGCCGCATTTGACGGGGAGCTGCTAAAGGGAGACGGGCTGGGTGCCGGAGGATGCCCTGGGACGAGAGGGGCCGTCGGCGCCGCAAACGAGAGTTCTTTTTCACACACACACACACACACACACACACACACACACACACACACACACACACACACACACACACACACACACACACACACACACACACACACACACACACACACACACACACACACACACACACACACACACACACACACACACACACACACACACACACACACACACACACACACACACACACACACACACACACACACACACACACACACACACACACACACACACACACACACAAACACACACACACACACACACACACACACTGTGGATCTAATTAGAGATCTGCATTCCCGCAGGATTCCAGAGGGATCCTATTAAACTATATTTCAGAGATGTAGGTGGGTGTAGGCGGTATTCCTAAGAGTTATCAAGCGGAAGCATGAAGCCAGGTGGTTTGATAAGGAAACATTTTAATTTCTCTGTTTTTTGAAAAATGCATGTCTGAAATGATCTGTTTAAATGAATTGATTAAAATAATAATAATAAAAAAAATAATAATAATAGGGGAATGGCAAAAAAAATATTTCTATTAACATGAACTTGTTTGATCTTGTATGATAATCAACTTCTGTTGTGTGTTGGGCCACCATTAAAATTTAAATCCTGAAGCATCAACCGCTAAGAGGAGACAGGGATTTTCGCTTCTCTTAACCAGGATTCAGGTGGTTTAGTTGCCAGTGATACAATTAATTAATTCACTTACAAAGAAACACCAACTAAAAAACTTTGCGTGCAAGAATAAGAGGAAACCCACAATAATTCTGAGTTTATCAGAATCACAAAAACAGAGCTCATATTATTTAACATCTTCTTGCAGACCGGTAAATAACCCTGAGAGACTGTAAATGTCACTTTCTGGTGAATATACAAGCTTTGCGAACCACACTAGAGAAATTACACACGTTCATGCCTGTGCACCATTTTCCCTCCATTCCCCCTGGGCTAGCACGAGTCTACAACACACAGAATGCAGATATCACCAGACCACATAAATAAACACTCACAGTGTTAGCAGAGCTGTGAAGCATCTGTCATTTGAATCAGATGGATGTAGTGCATCCTATATGCAATATTAGAACAATATAGAGAGCGACAGGAAATCAAATATTCACACTGCCAATGTTTGTGTGATTTGAGCAAAACTCATTTTTTATATTTCACACAAATATATGTTTATTAGAAGAGCAGATATACTTAGGTAGGCTAGGTAAGGCTGCGGTAGGTAAACAAATCATACATGCAAACACTACATTCAGGATTCCCGCACTTTATGACCAATGCATTTCTATTATCCATGTTTGTTCATAAAATTCATTTTCACAAAAATTCACACTGCACTCACAAATAGTAATTTATAACCAAATAAATACTTTAGAAATGACCGTATCTAGAAAAATGTCCATGACCTTTTAAGATTTTATTAATTTTCAGGACTTCACCAGGCCTGGAAATCACACTCTAACCCAAAAATACAACTATTGGTATTCTTAGACATAAAATATTAAGGCAAGATGCTTCAGGCAAAACCTTATTAATTTTCAGGACTTCACCAGGCCTGGAAATCACACTCTAACCCAAAAATACAACTATTGGTATTCTTAGACATAAAATATTAAGGCAAGATGCTTCAGGCAAAACCTTTTTTTTTTTTTTTTTTTTCATGCACTGGTCTATTATGAGGTTTTGGGCTCTTTTGTTTCCATAACACATGGTGAAAATAAAACATCCTAAATGCACATTAAGTGTTTCTTTTATGACACTTTATCTATTTGTGCCTGTAGATTTCAATTACAATACATATCTGTAAAGGCTGTTGTCTCAAACTAATTTTTTTTCTCATGCACTAAGCCAGAAATCTCCATTTCAATAGCACTAACGTACACCAGACATGACAGTTTTATTCCTATCTATATTCTGAACGTTTTTACAGAGAGGTTTGTTCACAAATCAGTTGCCTGATTTATATAACATTTTATTCGTAAAGACATGGTGAAAATGTATTTATTTAGACTGTATTGAGTGAATCAAAGACATATATTTGTACTATGTCAACAAAATGCTGGTTTGAGCTGGTTTGAGCTGGTCCTTTGCTGGTTTAAGCTGGTCCTTTGCTGGTTTATGCTGGTCATGTGCTGGTCGGACCAGTTTAGGACCAGCACATGACCAGCTAAGGACCAGCATAAACCAGCAAAGGACCAGCATAAACCAGCTCAAACCAGCATCCCAGCTTCAAAACATACCTAAGCAGCATATGCTGTTTTCTTTCAACAGGGCAATGCATGGTGATATCTATTAGTTATAATTTTTACCCTGTTCACCTGTGAAGATAAGGAACCTTTGGTAGCCTTACATTCTTTTAAAGCGGTCTTCTTTGCGAAGACATTCATCAGGTTTTAGTATTCCTCTAAAGGATAAATGGATGAAAAACTATAGGACAAAATGAATGATTTTTTTTTTGTCCCTGTGAGAATAGCAAAACTTACTCTTGACTAATACACACACGCATACTTCAGGTTATAAATATTCAGGGTTGTACCAGAACTCATAACTTAAAATGCCAGTACTGTTGGTATCAGTACGTACAGTAACAGAACAGTGTGTTATGTTGAGGTGCTAATAACAGCGTTTCGCTCACCTTTGGCGCGATGGTCTTCTTCTTTAGGACACTTTCCACCCTCCCACCATCGACGCTTTAGGATTTCCAATCTGTTGTTCTCTTGCAGCTGCAGTACGCCTAACGTGATCTCATCTCTGAACGGTGAACCTGCAAGAGAGTGAATGAAATTAGTTTAGCTGGTTAGCCAACTGGACTCCCAGGGTTACCAGCTGATGATTGTACAAAACCAATCTAAAACCTTGGCAAGGCTGGGAAACTAGCTAACTACCTTAAGATTAGAGTTACAAAAGTTCAGACAGGCTAAGGCTAGCAATGCTATGTTAAGATTAGCAATGCTACACACAAAGTAAACAGTTTTTGGCCTTTTGGACACCTTTAGTGACAGGAACATTTATAAGACATGACCCAGACCAGCGTTGCCCTCATTAGCACTCTGGTTTAACGTGTCAGAATGTCAGAACACATACGCTAACTGCTAAGACATGACTGAGTATGTCTTAGTAAGTCAACTGATGTTGTGCAAATGAGTTAAATTAGCCAGTGTGTCAGAATGAAAATGAATGTTATGATCGGTTAATTCCAAATGATTTGACTTGCTAGAATAACATCACCCTTCATTAAACATTACTGTATCACGACTAATCATGTCACGCTAATAACGACATGACGTGAAAGGATGTGTTCATCAAATTAAAAAAATGCTAATTCAAATTAAACACTGCAGATATGCACTGGAATGGATCAGCTGTCACTGAATGTTAGTTTCTTTTTCATTCAAAGGCTGTGAAAGTGAAGTACTTTGCAGGTGCATGTTTTTGCACCTCAGTATAATAAGCACAAAACATTTATTTTATGTGTCAATATCACTTACATCAACCCGTGTTTAAAGTTGCAATTCTCTCATGCCATGTAAGCTAAGAAATATGCAAGCTTTCAAAAACATCTTCAACCTCATCAGAGAAAACCTGCCTGTGGTGTTGCTTCATGCATGTTTTGCGCTACTTTCAGTGAAATGTCCAGTGATTGGTGCAGAAAACATGTTCAGTTTTATCTGAAATGCCATTTTAGCTTCAACAAGTCTTTGAGCTGTTTTATTGTGACTCATGTTTCACAGGACTCGTATCTGAGCGCTTTACATCCCTGTACCAGGTGAGCTACCGAGCAAGTTTACATCAAAAAAGCCATATGGAGCTAATTATGTGATGCAAACATCAAAATGTATTGGTTTACAAATGCACTATGGTAAACGTTTTTTGAAATCACAACATAGAATTGCGCAAGGTCTTTTAAATTGATAATCTGCCCCAGTAATAATAATTTTTATATATATCAAAAAAAAAATTGTGTTTTTTTTCTGGAAACTGCAGTTAATTATGTATAGTTTTTTTTTTTTGGTAGGTAGAGGCACATTTTTCCAATTAACCTATATTATTTCTAAAATTATTATTTTTATATTTTATAAAATTCTTTGCAAATACCTATATTTGATAAGAATAAATCTGGTATTTAAAACGGCACGGTTTTGAAAGGTCACCAA